GGGGTGGGGCTTGAGATGGGAGGAGGGGATAGGTGGGAGGAAGGACAGGTTAGGGAGGCGGGGACAAGCTGGGCTGGTTTTGGGATGCAGTAGGGGGAGGGGAGATTTTGAAGGTTGTGAAGTCCACATTGATACCATTGGGCTGCAGGGTTCCCAAGCGGAATATGAGGTGCTGTTCCTGCAACCTTCGGGTGGCATTGTTGTGGCACTGCAGGAGGCCCAGGATGGACATGTTGTCTGAGGAATGGGAGGGGGAGTTGAAATGGTTCGTGACTGGGACGTGCAGTTGTTTAGTGCGAACCGAGCGTAGGTGTTCCGCAAAGCGGTCCCCAAGCCTCTGCTTAGTTTCCCCGATGTAGAGGAGGCCACATCTGGAACAGCGGATACAGTATACCACATGAGCAGATGTGCAGGTGAACATCTGTTTGATGTGGAAGGTCTTCTTAGGGCCTGGGATGGGGGTGAGGGGGGAGGTGTAGGGGCAGGTGTAGGGGCAGGTGTAGCACTTCCTGCGGTTGCAGGGAAAAGTGCCGGGGGTGGTGGAGCTGGAGGGGAGTGTGGAGCGGACGAGGGAGTCCTGGAGAGAGTGGTCCCTCCGGAAAGCAGATAAGGGTGGGGAGGGAGAAATGTCTTTGGTGGTGGGGACGGATTGCAGATGGCGGAAGTCTCGGAGGATGATGCGTTGGATCCGGAGGTTGGTGGGGTGGTACGTGAGGATGAGGGGGATTCTGTTTTGGTTGTTATTGCGGGGAGGGGGTGTGAGAGATGAGTTGCGGGAAATGCGGGAGACACGTTCGAGGGCGTTCTCGACCACTGAGGGGAGAAATTTGTGGTCCTCCAGCATCTGCCGTTCCTACTATCTCTGGAGCTGAAGCAACACAGCAGTCCAGGCAGCATCAGAGGCACTCAGAGACAGTAAGAACTGCCGATGCAGTTGTGAAGAAGGGTCCCGACCTGAAAGGTCAGCTTTCCTGCTCTTCTCATGCTGCCTGGCCTGCTGCGTTCCTCCAGCTCCACACCGTGTTATCCCTGCTTCAATATAGCGGTGTCAAAACTGTAGGATGTCCGAAGCATTCTACATCCAATTGAAGCATTGTAATACTGGAAAAGTGACAGGCTAATTTGCACACAGCAAGCTCCCAGAAATAACAATGCGATAACGAACAGATAATCTGCTTTCTGTGATGTTGACTGAAAGATAAATATCGGCCAGACCCAACTTCCCTGCCTTTCTTTGCAATAGTGCCACAGGATCCATCTCATCCGTCTGAGAGAGCTGACAGAAGCTTGGTTCAACATTTCATTTGAAAGTCAAAAAACTGAAAGAACTGCGGATGCTGAAAACCTGAAACAAGAACAGAAATTGCTGGAAAAGCTCAGCAGGTCTGGCAGCATCTGTGCAGAGAAAGCAGAGTTAATGTTTCGGGTCCAGTGAACCTTCTCCAGTTCTGATCTCATTTGCAATTTCTGCTCTCATTTGAAAGCCAATTCCTCCGAAAATAAAGCACAGAAGTGTAAAGTTGGATTTCTGCGCTCAAGTCCCTGTGGTGAGACTTGAACATACAGCCTTTTGGCTCAGGGACAATGTTTGTTTATTTAGAGAGTCACAGAGATGTACAGCATGGAAACAAACCCTTCGGTCCAACTCATCCATGCTGACCAGATATCCTGAATTAATCCAGTCCCATTTGCCAGGATTTGGCCCATACCCCTCTAAACCCTTCCTATTCATATACCCACCCAGATGCCTTTTAAATGTTGTAATTGTACCAGCCTCCACCACTTCCTCTGGCAGCTCATTCCATACACGCACCACCCTCTGCATGAAAAAGGTGTCCCTTAAGGTTCCTTTTAAATCTTTCCCCCACACCTTAAACCTATGCCCTCTAGTTTTGGACTCCTCTACCCTGGGAAAAACACATTGGCTTTTCCTCCTATTTGTGCCCCTCATGATTTTATAAACTTCTACAAGGTCACCCCTCAGCCTCCGATATTCCAGGGAAAATAGCCCCAGCCTATTCAGTGTCTCCCTATTGCCCAAACCCTTCAATCCCAGCAACATCCTTGTCTGAGTTTCTGCTGTAAAGTTGGCGATTAAATTTTATGTGACTGCAAGCAAGGCATTTCATTTGCTGTCTCTCTGTCTCTCTCTCTCTCTGATTCTCTTCCATGGCCACTGAAATAGGCCACTCGGCTTATCTTCACTGATTCTCAGTTCCTGAGCTTCAAGTAGCCTCCTTATCTCACCCTCTGTCATCATGGGAGCTTTCTTTTCCTGTCCCCCATCTCACTTTAGCTCACTGTGTCTTTGTTGAGGAATCATACAGCCATAGGGGAGAAGCCATTCAGCCCACTGTTTCCAGTGCTGGCTCTCATTATACTCCTCCAGCAGCACCCCCTCTCTTTACCCCATCTTCCTTCTGAAAGTGTGGTGCCCTGAACCTGACACATTAATCCAATCAGGACTGGAGTAATCTATTATCAAGGTTTAGCATGACTTCCTGACTTTCTGGTCTGTCTCCTTTGTTGCCCTTGTCTTTCTAGATGGAAGTAATTGTGGGTTTGCTGTCTGAGGATCTTTAGTGAATTTCTGCAGTGCATCTTGTAGATGGTACACTCTGCTAATACTGAGCGTAGGTGGTGGAAGGAGAGGATCCTTGTGGATGTGGTGCCAATCAAGCGGGCTGCTTTGTCCTGGATGGTGCCAAGCATCTTGAGTGTTGGAGCTGCATTAATTCACAGTTCAGTGCTCATATGTGTATCTCTGCTACCTGTCCATGATAAATGTAAAGATGTAGAAAAGACAGACAGCAGAATCTGGAGGGCTTACTGAACTAGGGCAAACTGATCGTTGAGCACAGCCTGGAAGCTGGGAAATCTGTTGGAGGTAAGGTTACCGGGGAAGCCCGTGGAGAGATTTGAAAGCAACAATGAGCATTTTAAAGCAACAATGAGCATTTTAAAGTCAAGATGTTGCTTGACCCAGCCCTAATGTTGCTCAGATCTCATTTGTGACTTTAGTTGGAGCTGTTTCGGAACTGCAGCGGGGATGGAAACCTGATTGGAAGGTTTTAAATGCAGAGTTCTAGGAAAAATGGGAATGGCATTATAGTGATTGCAATGAGGTCAGCCATGTGGACCTCATAGAATATGAGTTCCCTGATTGGACCAGATTAACAGACCCAATCAGGGAGCCCTGGCTGACAGACATAAACAGGAGTGTCAAGGGTTTTGCTCACTCTGAAAGCTGGCTCTGAGGATGCTGGACCAGTGTCAAGTACTATACTGTAAATAAAGGGGGTCTTGGTGACAGGATACTGGCCTCTGTGGTGTTATTTCAGGCATGACTTCACACGCTGAAGTGTGACAAGGAAAGGAAATTTAGAAATGGCAGTAACTCACAAGCTTGGTTTGACAAAACGAGCAATGTCAATAGATTCAAAGAAGAGTGAGACAGCTGTAGATGGGAGAGAATGGTCATTAACGTTGGTGAAAGTGGGGATACAGAGCAGCAGCTCACTCTGAATAAAGTGAAGTGAACAGGAGTTGGATCTGATGAATGAGATTAGAGAAGGCTGAAACGGATTTAGAAGAGAGAAACTTTAGAGTATACAAGTATGGGGTAGAACAGTGGAGATGTTTTGAACACATTGTAAGAGAGGGACATGGCAGATCAAAGACTCTCCCTTGGTGGCTCAAAAGGTGACAGTATCTTCAACCCTCCAGATCCTGCACACTGCAACTGCCTCCCGGCCTTACCTTCACTTCCTCAATTATGGCTCTATTTAAAAGCCATTCGTTTGACCAAGCTTTTGGAGCTTCAATCATTCAACCCTGAACCTTATCTTCTCTGTCACGGTGACGAATTCTGTATGTTTTTGCATCTGCAAAGGTCTTTGGGCTATCTTGCCTTGTTAAAGTCACAATGTAAATGCAAGTTGTTGTTATTCCCATCAAAAAAAAATTGAAAACAATTTGGACTTTGTAAAATGTGGTTAGGTGTCCTTTGCTTGTTCACAGCTACAGGAGACAACAATGCACATTGTGCCCAAATCTGTCACCTGCATGAGATCTCGCAGAGCCAAAAATGTACAAAAGTCTGCCAAATGCTTTTCTGTGATTGGTTTAACTATGCTATACAGTTCATTCATGCAACAGAAAGCAAACACTTTTCACTTTAATCCTGGCGACATCTATTTTGTCATCTGGTTCATTTATACTCTGCTCTAAAAGCACTGAAATTTATAATGAGAGCTGGCATATATTTTCCACATCTTGCTGAATGCGTTGTAAATATGCAATGCCAAATCTGCCTCAAATGCATTTTAAATTATGAAGATATCCCAGCAGAGATCTAGTCATGTAAAGTCATAGTTTCCTAGGACATATTTTGTTGAAGCAGCCTTTAACAATATACGCCAAAGGAATAACAATTAGCTTCAAGAAATACAACATGACTGAAAATTGCTGACAACAGTTGTTGAGAAAATAGTAGACCATAAAACTGAAATTAAAAGTGCATTCATTCCAACATTTACATGGACTGATAAGCAGTGTTCTCACACACCTCAAATCCTGCTTGAGGACTTGAAATCTGCAGGACTCATAGAATCCCTGCAGTGTGGAAGCAGGCCATTCGGCCCAACAAGTCCACACCAATCCTCTGAACAGCATCCCACACAGTCTTGCCCACTACCCTATTCCTGTAACCCTGCATTTCCCGAGACTAATCCACCTAGCCAGCACATCCTTGGGCAATTTAGCATGGCCAATCCAACTAACTTGCACATCTCTGGACTATGGGAGGAAACCAGAGCACCCAGAGAAAACCCGCAGAGATATGGGGAGAACATGCAAACTCCACACAGGCAGTCGTCCGAGGCTGGAATTGAACCCGGGTCCCTGGCACTGTGAGACAGCAGTGCTAACCACTGAGCCACTGTGCCTGGACTCAATATTGAGTTCAATAATTTCAGGCCTGAACATCTTCCTCCATGTCCGTTACTCACCACTACACCACAGGCCCTGTCATGACATAAAGTTATAAAGTCATACAGCGCAGAAACAGACCCTTCGGTCCAACCAGTTCATGCCAACCATAATCCCAAACTAAACAAGTCCCACCTGCCTGCTCCTGGCCCATATACCTCCAAACCTTTCCTGATCATGTACTTATCTTTCAGCATAGTTAACACATTTTCACCCACTCATTACCCCAGTAACACCTATCCAGCTTTTCCCTCTTCCCTGGCTGACTATCAACCATCCCTTTCTCTGGCTACTTCTTTTTTCTCTCTCTGGGCTCTGCCTCCACTTATTCACTCAACAGCCTTCTCCCCCACCCTCTGTTATCAACATCAATACCACTTTTTCCTAGATGCTATCAGTTCAGAAGAAGGGTCCCCGGAACTCAATGGTGATTCTGTCTTGTCTCCACAGATGCTGCCAGACCTGCTGAGTTTCTCCAACAATTTGTTTTTGTCTCAGGAACCTTTCCAGCTTTCAGAATGTGCACTTTGGCAAATAAGTAATGATCACCTTTTCTGACCAATTCTGAAGCTGAACATAATGGAATAAATGGAGTAGTTTTAACTATTGCTTCATGGGTTCAATGTCCCACGCACAGAGGTCAAAGCTGGTGTTTCAGTGTTGTACTGAGGGAGTGCTGCACAGTCAGAAGTGTCTTATTTCAGAGGAGATGTTAAACTGTAGTCTGCCCTCTCGACAGTATTTCAGAAAGCAAGGGAGTTATCCCTGGTGTCCTCGCTAATATTTATCTTCGACCAATATCACTGGGTAATTGATTCACTACCATATTGCTAGCCTGTGGGAGCTTTCTGTGCGTAAATTGGCTGCTGTGGTTTTGTTTTACGTGGGTGCACTTCAAAAGTGTGTCATAGACTGTAAAATGCTTTGAGGTATGACATAGAGGCGCGTTATAAATGCAAGCCTCTTGTTAACCATACAAAATGGTCATTTTGAAAATGAAATTAAATGGTAACTTATTGGAAGTGTGACATGCTGGTGAAGGATATTTGTGTGGGTGCTGTGGAGGAAGTACTTGATTTCACGGATTCTCAACCAAGAGATTTGACAGCCAATGAAGTGTAGCTACTACTGTAACATAGACAAACATGGTAGCAAGTCTCCACACACAGCAAAGTCTCAGTAAGAGCTAAATGACCAGATAAAAGTATTTTCTTTTGCACAGTTTTGGTTCAGGGATAAATGTTAGCTGGAACATTGAGAGAATTCGCTCTGAGCAGCTTTTTGTGAATTTCTAACAGCCACTTGAGGGGTCAGGTGGATGTTCAGTTTATTGCATCATCTGAAAAACAACCCTTCTGGCAGTGCAGTACCTCCTCAGTAATGCTGTGCAGTGCCAGCCCAGATATGAAGTAAAATCTCTTGACTGTTGAACTCAGAGGTGGGAACACTGCCAATGGCTCGAGACTAATGCCACTAACCAAACTGGTAATAATACTAATTAATACGAGTAACTACCAGGTAACATTGTGCACTTGCCTATGTTGCGGCTTTTAATAACATGGCCAACAGCGACCGGCAGTGGGATATTGTTCGAACCATCAACCTTAGACACAACTCCAAATTGAACATCGGGGATAGTAGGAACTGCCGATGCTGGAGAATCTGAGATAACAAGGTGTGGAGCTGGATGAACACAGCAGGTCAGGCAGCATCAGAGGAGCAGGAAAGCTGACGTTTCGGGTCTAGATCCTTCTTCAGAAATAATCATTTTCTGAATAAGGGTTCAGACCCGAAACATCAGGTTTCCTGCTCCTCTGATGCTGCCTGGCCTGCAGTGTTCATCCAGCTCTACGCCTTGTTATCTCCAAATTGAACGTGATAGGAAATTCTGATAACTTATCTAGCACCTAAGCTGTATTTACTTTGGCAGTGTTTGCTGACACCAGAAGCTACAAGCAACTACACATGCGTGCTTATTGGGAATGCACAGGACCATGCACCTGGATGTCATATGTGACATCATACGGAAATGCATTACTCAGGGTGCTCAGGGAAGCACATAATTTTGAGCAGAGCTTCAGTGGTGTGGAGACCTTAGCCATGAAGAAGGTATTGTACAGGTATCCCCAAGTAATATAAATAATTCAGTGGCATAGCCTACCTCATCCATTGAGGATTTCTTGGAATCTTCATCATCGTCTTCTTCCTCTTCACTTTCTGCTTCTCCATCACCTGCAAATGTTTGTCAATAATTAACTTGGATGTTACTTGTAGCAATGGTCAATCAATACAGTCAAGTGCCCGCCCAAAAATTAACACGATGAACAGCATTGTGATTTGCAACTTGCTCACGAGCAGACCATACAGAGGCTTCAGCAATCCTGGGGGTAGGATGGATAGTCAGAGCGCCTGTTCTACAATAATGTCCAGTAATACCCGCCAGAACTGCTAAGGTGTGGACACCTACGGTGAAGGACAAAACCAGGGTTGGTAAAAGCCATCGTGCGCAGCATTCATTGTGAAAACCACTCAGTGAGAGTACTGAAGAGTGACAAGTCCTCTTGGAACAGTACTCAAGGAAGAATCAGCACATTGATGAAAGCACTGGGGGAAGAGCATCTAATTGGTGGAGATGTTGAAGAAGAGAAAGAATTGTTTGGAACAAGCCGATTATGATTGCTTGCAGAAGCGGGTTATTTTATTATCTACCATTGTTTGATATGCAAACGTTAACATTATCCATCGAGGCCATTAACGAGAGACTGAGAGATCATAAAGAACAATGTGACAATTGCTGAAGAAACATAAGAAATAGGAGCAGGAGCAGGCCATCCGGCCCATCGAGCCTGCTTTGCCATTCAATAAGATCATGGCTGATCTTTTCATGGCCTCAGTTCCACTTACCCACCCGCTCACAATAATCATTAGTTCCTTTACTGTTCAAAAATGTATCTTTGCCTTAAAAACAGTCAATGAGGTAGCCTCATCTGCTTCATTGGGCAGGGAATTCAACAGATTCACAACCCTTTGGGTGAAGAGGTTCCTCCTCAACTCAGTCCCAAACCTGCTCCCCCTTATTTTGAGACTATGCCCCCTAGTTCTCGTTTCACCTGCCAGCGGAAACAACTTCCCTGCTTCTATCTTATCTATTCCCTTCTTAATTTTATGTTTCTACAACATCCCCCCCTTAAAAAGAGACTGAATAATGTCGGCAAACATGTTGTACTGGCTCAGAGATGGTAAGAACTGCTGATGCTGGAGTCAGAGATAACACACAGTGTGGAGCTGGAGGAACACAGCAGGCCAGGCAGCATCAGAGGAGCAGGAAAGCTGACGTTTCGGGTCGGGATCCTTCTTCAGAAATGGGTCCCGAGCCAATATGTCAGCTTTCCTGCTCCTCTGATGCTGCCTCGCCTTCCGTGTTCCTCCAGCTCCACACTGTGTTTTCCAACCAACATTTGGATCTTTTGGGGGAAGTGCTGGCAAAGTGGAACGAATAATCCAGCAGCCCAGGCTAATGTTCAGGGGACACATAGTCAAATCTCACCACAGTAGCTGGTGGAATTTAAATTAATAAACCTGGAATGCAAAACGAGTCTCAATGATGGTGGCGATGAAAACGTCATAAGAAAGCCCCGTCTGGTTCGCTATTTCAGGAAGGAAACTGGATATCTTTATCCATGTAGTTGGGGGAAAGGGCAGGGATGTGGATGTGAGGAGTGTCAGATCAGCCAGGATCCTATTGAATGGCAGTGCAGGCTTGAGGGGCCGAATGGCCTACTCCTTCTATCTCTTGTGGTTGACTCTTGTTTGCAGCTGTGACGCTGGAATGGTCTAGCCAAGCCAAGGGCACTTAGAGATGACCAACAAATTTTGGATGCGCCAGTGACTCCCACATCCTGCAAAGGGACACATGGTGTTTGAACATGGCAAATGCAACAGGTGCAAGTTCATTTTCCTTCAATGCTCACATCTGCTTTATTGCAAGATCACATTGGAAGCTTACTTTGAGATTTCTGACCTCTTGCAGAGATATGTTACTTTCAGAGTGTTCTTACAATCCTTCTTTTTCTGAACAATGGTGTTCCACAAAATACATAAAACAAACACTCATGGTAAACAAGATGCAGGGCTGGATGAACACAGCAGGCCAAGCAGCATCATAGGAGCAGAGAGGCTGACGTTTCGGGCCTAG